CGATGAGACCCCACATTCGTCTCTGCCAATATGTGTGGGGGTTTCCCCGCCTCTCGATGAGACCCCACATTCGTCTCTGCCAACATGTGTGGACTGTGGGGGTTTCCCCGCCTCTCGATGAGACCCCACATTCGTCTCTGCCAACATGTGGGGTGTGGGGGTTTCCCCACCTCTCGATGAGAGAACTTTGCTTTTACTCTGTTCCGTATGGTTGCCAGCAACTATAAAATATGAATATGTGAGGAAGCGTGGTGGAATCAGGCTCTCGTCAAAATAATCAAATTGAAGAAACTTGCATTTTCCCGAAGGTTTGTGAATTTTTATCGAGTTTTTGTTTTTTGGTTCAACACCTTTCATGCCCATTAAAGAACTCATTTCTGTGTGGATTGTTCTGAAAAACGTTGATTAAAGGCACAAAAAAATGTAAATTTTCAGTTACCACGGACTATAAATCTAAGGAAATAACTAATCTTTGGCGGCCATTTTCTCTCTAATTTTACCTCTAAAAACAGGTGACCCCTACTTCCTTCTTTCGCAAATATCTCGACTTGTATTTAAGATAAAAGGATATTATTTTCATTCAAATAAAGACGAGTGAACAAGCTTTAAGATGATACCTATAACTCTACATGCCCAAAAATTGACGAGAGCCTGATTCCACCACACTGCCTCCCATATGTAGTCTTAGAGCTGGTATCCCTACAGCATATCTATGATATGAAATTTCTGGAAGGAAATACACGTTGTGTCCTTTTTTTAGTAACGGAATACGATGAGAATAATATTTTGTCCCCGTTGTTTTATGCACCCCGCATAATTTAGCAAATTTTGATCTTTTTTTTGTGTGCATAATTTCTGATTATTTTCCTTTATCATTCTTTGTTAAAATTAACAGAGTGGCATAGTTTCACATTTTTGGGCTCAGTTTGCATGGTTTCAGAATTTTTCTTGCATAAAACGACGGGGACAGAAAAATGGATGTCACTGAATAGGAACACCTGTTAGAATAATGCAATGAAATTGTCGTTTTGTCTGATACTGTTAATTGATTCTGTACAAAGCGATGTTTCTGGGACCCTGTTCTAGTTCTTAATTGAATGTAGTTTCCATATGTCCCTCCCCCCACCCCCACCCCACCCCCTCCCGACACCACCCCTATCCCTCAGCGACGGCTCCCCGTCCCCTTTCTATCAAGCTCTGCCCCCTTTTCACCATGTACATTTTCAAATGGTTGTGAGGAACAAGCCTGACTGGTTGTTTAGCATTGCATTGAGTTGTTTTGTTTTGTTACGATGATGAATGCGCTAGGATTTCTTTCTAAAGAGACTGTGTATGCTTTACAGTATTCTTAATTTGTACAGACATTGATCTTAAAACCGTTTAGATGTATGCGCACGAAAAGCAAACGTCAGAAAGGAGATAATAACTCGTGTCTACACGCGCGTGTGTGTATAATATGTATGTATATATA